GATTATTTCTTTAAGAGTTCAAGGGATTAAACTTCCCAGACATTAGTCTTAAGTCCATATAAAAAGTTATTTAGACAGTTATTTCTCATTGATGATTTTGTTCCTAACTAGAAAGTGCTGCTCAGATTTAAGACTTCAAATCTTGGTCTCCAATACTGTAGTGCACACCTGTAGCTAAGGGAGACAGTCCACTATGGTTTTTAAATGATGGATAAGTTTGTTTTCTCCCCATATCTAGAAGCCTTTGAGAGGGAACTGACACTGATTCTAACCACTCCAACAGCTATCAAAGTACCTGAAAACAAATCCTGTATCCATCACTCTAGAGTCCAGCCTTGGAAGGAAAAAGAAAAAGGAGGAGGAACACGATAGAGGGATGTTATGGAAGCCCTTGTCAAGAAATTCCAATGGACTCTCATGAATATTTGAAAATTTCCGTTTGACTTTTTTGTAATTCTGTCTAGAACTTGTAATGCTAATTCTTCTTGCCTTTACTTCTCCTTCACATCTCCTATTCATGATTCAAGGACTTTCTTTTCCCCCTAGAGATAAGAGCTATGCAATTTGAGAGTCTTAGACCCACTGAAGGGGTACTCCAATTGCCTCACTCTGCATCCTTGTTCAGAACGGAAGAAGCTGGAGCAGTCTGCATCCCAATTCCATATTGGCAATTTGGGTATGACCCCTTCAGAGGATGCTGTGATAAGAATAGGAGGTAGGAATTGACTAGGCAGTTAGGGTAAAGAGACCCCAAAGAAAAGTAGCCAGTTTCTTGGCTAAAACTCACAGTGTCATTGGGCCTCTTAGCAACCTACTCTTTTCCAAAGGCCAAAAATGTTGAAAACATTTGGGCACTTTTATCTATTCCTTAAAAGATTTTAGGGTTACCTTTTCAGAGGGGGGAATGTTAGAGTTGCCAAAAGCCCCATTTTAAAAAAAAATTGAAGAAGAAAGAGTACGTGAAGTTATCAGAAAAAAAAAAAAACAGTGATGGGGAGATACGTACGAGTTGGAGGGGAGGGAATGGGCATGGATTTGATCAAAACACCTTATATGCATGTATGAAATTCTCAATAAAATATCTATTTAATTAAAAATAAAGCCAGGCATGGTGGTGCAAGCCTTCAATCCCAGCACTCCGGAGGCAGAGGTGGGCAGATCTCTGTGAGTTCAAGGCCAGCCTGGTCTACATTGTGAGTTCCAGGACAGCTGGGTCTACAGGGAGACCCTGTGTCAGACCAAAAAAAAAAAAAAAAGACCAAATAAATAAATAAGTAAAATGGATGAAGCTTAAAAAAATTATCAAACCAAAACAAATAAAAAAGAATATTGAAGAGAATTTGCTCCTTTTGGGGGGTTTTCCACACCTGTGAGAAAAAGAAGTATTCCTTCAGGACAGACAGAAAGATAACTGGTTATGGCTGTGGGTAACTGGGATTGGTCCATTTCTTCCTGTGATATCACAGGAGGTCATTGTGAGGTACTGCAGATGCCTGTCTCTATAAGGCCAGTACTGGGCCTGGAGCTCGTCCTTATACTGCAGAGAAGCTGTTTTTTGGCTGGATAGTAGTAGTTGGACCAGAAATTGTTTCTGAAAATGGATATATTAATAATCTTTTGGACCTTGGTGATCTGCTTGATCTCAGCATAGTGAATTTGGGTGTTGGTTTTGGTTCACGTGTCCTGGGTTCTATTATTATTGATTTTCTTTTTGGAAATTTACTTTTTTCTTTCAGTGCAGGTTTTTTAAAATGACCTGGTGTTGTTGTATTCTGAGCTGTATATCTTTCTCATTTTTAACTCCTTTAAACTTTCTTTGGTATAAATTAAATGTACAAAGTAATGAATTTCATTAGGAAGTTTCCCCAGCTCTTCCATTTCGTTAAACCTTCCCTAATTGGTTAAGTGTCTTCCACCCTACCATATCGTATAGGAGACTAAATACGCCTTGGATACAGCATCACAGTGTTAAGGGGCTACTGTCTTCTGAGGCGCCCATAAGTATGGGCATAAGAAAAGACATTCACTATCAAGAGTATAGAATTGGTGAGGTCTACAGAAGCCAAAGTTATTCTAGCATTTGAGGCCCATGTGAACGGTGATTGTAATATGCTCTGTTTTCACTTGTAACTAGTCAGTACCAGTATCCGTGGCCAGGAACGCACAAAGCTTCCTGAGTCTGTCATTCCTCCTGTTGTTTTTGCTCTTCTTATGACTGAAGTGGAAAGTGTCCTTCTGAAGGGTGATGTTAAATGTTTCACATTGTCTCCTCTGTTTCAATGCTTGGTCCACAGCTGGGAGGGCAGATTGGGGAGGTAATGACACACCCTTGGGAGGTTCAGACTAGCTGGATAAATTTGGGTCATTAAGACTGTGGAACTGCCACAGCCAGGTAAATGGCTGCCAAGGTCCTGTCTTACTGAGCCCCCACCTCCTTCCAACATCATGCCTTTCCTGTTTGCCAATAGCAACAGCCCAAATAAATCCTTCCCCCCTTAGGCTGCTTCTTGTCTGGTATTTGGTCACAAGTATGAGAAAAGGAAATACCGCAGCCCTGGGGACAGTGAGCCGGGGTTTTGCCCAACTGCAGTTGGTTCATTCCTTGCTGTGACGTCACAAAGAACCATCAGGAAAAATTAGACAACTAGTCACATAGGGCACTGACTTGTGCCGGGATTCATACTTGTACCGCAGAAGAGTTTTTGTCTGTGGGATATTGTTGAACCCCGTTGATGCTTCTGATCAATGTGATTTTTTCCCCAGTCTGTCGGACCCCAACATTCTGCAGTTATGGACGGTTGTTAAGTTTTTCACTTTATATTTAGGTCTACGATCAATTTTCAGCTATATTTTGGGTAGGATTTTAAAGTGTCTAGATTTTTCTTCTGCACATGATATATAGTTGTCTTAGTATATGAAAACACTATTGAAAAGACTTTACTTTCTCCATAGAATCACCGTTTCCAGTATCAACGACTGCTTGATTATATTTGTGAGGGTGTTCAGGGATTCCTTGATGCATTCTATTGATCCATCCATCTAGTCTCACAGCACAACACTGACTTGATCATCTTTTAGTAAGTCTTAAAGTCGGTGTGGATCCTGACTTTGCTCTTCCTTAGTATTATGTTGGCTGTATTAGCTTTCTCCTCTCTCTCTGTCTCTGCCTTCCTCCTCCCCCTCCTTCCTCTTCCTCTTCTTCCTTCATCCTCTTCCTCCTCTTCCTCTTCCTCCTCTTCTGTCTGGTAATGGTCGTATTCCCTTGATTCTGCTATATGCTGGTATCTGTTTACATATGTGGAATTACCCAACTACTCCTTGCCGAACCCACCTCGATAAGACTTGGTGTGCATTATCAAGTAATTTCATTAAGGTCGTTGACACTTGTGTTCAACAAGAAACTTGGCTTATAGTTTTCTCTTTGATTTGATATTTATTTGGTATTGCTATCAGGGTAATACAGTCTTTGAGAATGAATTTGGAAGTGTTCTTTCCTTCTCCCTCTAGGAAATAGTTTCAGGAGCACTGATGTTTATTCTTTAATGATCCAGTTGAGTTTTCAGAGAATCTGTTTCTCTTGGACTGTTTTGTTGAGAAATGCTTTTCTTATTACTCTTTCAGTGAACTTGTTTACTTGGGGTTTATTTCAATTTCTGTGTTGGTCATTCAAATCGAGAAAGGCATCTATTTGTTTCAGATTTGCCAGCCTGCCAAAGACTGTCTTCAAAATACCCCCTCCCCCTCTGTGATCCTCCAAATTTAAGTGGCGTCTGTTGGAATACCACTTGCTCTTGCCTCTAGTCTCCCGAGTTCCATCTTCTCAGTGGTTTTGTGTGGGTGAGGCTTTGCCATGTTGTTTCCTTTTCAGGTAACAGCTCTTCTTTCATTTGACCTTCGAGTTCGTGTCTTGGCGCCCACTTCATTGACTCCAGCTCTGATCTTCATTGTTTTGTCATCTCCTTGGGGGTGTGGGTGGCTCTCGTTTCTCTGTGACCTTGAAGTATGCCGTTACATTACTTTGTGATTTTATGATACAGGAATTGATAGTTGTAAAGTTCTTAGACCTGCTTTTTCTTTTCATCTAGCATTGTCTCTTGGTGTAATCCCCTACAATCGAAGGTGAGGGACACGAAGGTGGAGGTCAGCTCCACCCTCTCTGGTGTACACATCCTCAGAGATAAACTCAAGGTCTTAATTAACTCGGTCTGTGGCGCATTTGGGGAAGTAAAGTTGGCACGTCATCTCCGAACCAATACTCCTGTTGCCATTAAGATCATGACACCTGCAGATGTCCACTGGGCGATCTTAGCCTCCATGTACCCATCTCCACCAAACGTGTCCACAAAGCTAAAAACTGTGATTTCAATGTTGCTCGTTGGGGATCCTGGCTATAGGATGGATACAGGCCAGCTGCTGGGGCACCCCTGGCCTTGGGATCGTCATGGAAGTCCACCACCAGGCTCCAGAGGAAACGTCCCTAGGATCCCAGTAACCAACATTGTGGAAACCGTGTGCTCCATGGGGTTTACCATTGAGGAACTTGTGCTATCCATAAAATCCACAACACGTAATGATGCCAAGGAAATCTATACTAGTCAAACTAAGCTGTGGTGCTACTTATTCCCGGATAGGGAAGCTTGTGAGGCCCTGTATAGACACCAGCCCTGCCAGTGCTCTCACCCTCCCCTTCAGGAGGCACAGGAGTGAACCTATTATAAGATACATCTCCTGTGAGGTGAGCCAGGTCGCGAATGACACAGACCCACCACACAGTCATACACCATGTCCTCATAATTATTCCTTGGACTCCTCCCATGATGAGAATGCTTTGAGAGACACCACTGTCTGCAGTAACTTGGGAGAGAACAACACCGCGACATCCAGTAGCTCCCCAAGTCGTGATCTTTTGTCCATGGACTTACCTGACGATGCGGACACTGGGTGCGTCAACTTCATGAGTTTGGAGAGAGACATCAACAAACCTCCCAGAGATGCTCCTTATAATGAACGTTCCTCCGTGGACTCACGGCGGGATGAGAAATCCACTGATGAAAACAGCAGGGACCTGGTCCTTGAGGAACCATCACCTGATGAAAACAGCAGAGCCCAGGCCCCCACAGTCTCCACATCTAGAAGGGTGTGGAAGGGGGTGAGGAGGCAGTTCCTTCAGGTGTTTAGAAGACTTTGCTGTTGCCTCCCCACCCCAAGGGAACGCAGCATGCCCCCAAGGTAAGCGGCTACAGTAAAAGGAAGTTGGAGTCCCACAGGAACCCCAGTAGGCGGGGCCACCAGATGTGCTTCTGCCTCTCATTTCCTCCATGTTCAAAATGCCGACAGAACCGATTTGGGGATTTGAAATTTGAGACGTGAACATCCTTAAGAGGATCAATCTCCCAGCATGCCCTTCTGTGGAATCTGGGAATACGAGGCAGAAATGACAGCAACAGATGATAGTCACTTGAGGGAAAAGAGGACTGAAGTGGGGAGGAGGGTGTGGGGGAATGGAAGCAAAGATTGAGAAGGGTGGAGTCAGGTGTGGAGCCTTTGGGACAGCAAGGGGAGCACAGTGCTGAGTGTGTCCCGTCCCTTTCAGCCTCACTAACACATTCCCTTTCCTGTGTCTTCTTTCAAGGGAAGAAGAAGGGGCCCAGCTCTGTGGTTGTTGAACCACAGGGCTGGGTTCGGCCTGATTGTGGACCGAGAGCCACACGGGGGACCCAGGCCGAAACTCAAAGAGGCGCTGTTGCCTGAACACCCAGCGCCCACCATCCACCAATGGGAATCACAACAAGGGCCCTGCACCTCTTGTGAGTGTTGGGTGTGAGCTGAAGCTCCCCTCATTCAGCTCATCAGTACCTCGGTCATCTCGTTAGGGTCCAAGAGTCGGGAAGAATGCCCACAGACATGAAGGAAATGCATAAAAATTTTATTCAGAAATTTAATGTCTCAAGTAACTAAATTAGCGGCTAGTGGGGCACAGACTCCCCAAGCCAAAGATGGCGTCCGGCCCGGAACAACAGCAGGCAGGGGCTTTTATGGGAGAGCATTATACAAACCTGCGGATGGCTCCATATCCTGAGTATGGAGGAAGTTTTGATTGGTAGGGGCTGTCTTCAGGGCATTGGAATGTGCTGACTGAGATCTTTAGGGCCAGAAGTTTTTGTTCATACCTTATAAGGCTTTTATGTGTTTAGGGCTTGCTGAATCTATAGCTTTGGGGGGGGGAGTAGCAACTGGAAAAATTTACAGCATGCCTGAGCTTGTCCGGGCTTGTCTGAAGAAGCTAGCTAAATGGAGACAGTGCATTCTGGCTCTTCAGTCTTATCCTCAGCAGTATTCGGATTGACCAAATAAGTGCTGACAGCATTTGACAAACTACATAAGCCCAGGAGGAGGAAGGACAAAGGGTTAATGGGAGAGTAGGAAGTAGAAGGGTGGCATAGAGGAAGAGGAGGGGGAGAGGGAGGAGAAGGCACCTGGGAGGGAGGAGAGAGTTCTAGTTTGTTTCTGAGTTGCTAGGACAAAATATTCTGACCAGTATCAACTTGGGGAGGAAAGGGTTTATTTTATCTTACACCTCCCGGGTCACAGTTCATCCAGGAGCCCAAGGTAGGAACTCAGGGCAGGAACCTGGAGGCAGGAGCTGGAGCACAGGCCATGGAGGAACACTACTTACTGGCTTGCTCCCCTGGCCCCTGCTCAGCCTGCTTTCTTATACAACACAGGCCCACCTGCCCAGGGGTGGCACCACCCACAGTGGGCTGGGCCCTCTCACATCACTCAACCATCAAGAAGGTGCCCCACAGAAATGGCCACAGGCCAGTCCAATGGAGGCAATTCCCCAATCGAGGCTCCCTCAACCCAGGCGTGTCCAGTTGACACTAAAGCTGTCCGGCACAGAGGAGACAGACTCCCTGAGGACAGTGAGGAGAAAGGGAAGAGTTTTGAGTGGGGCAGGAATAAGTAGGTGGTGGGGCACAGGAGGAAGTTCCTGGAAGAGCAGAGGTAGAGGGGGCGGGACATGGCCACCCGTGGGGAGAGTGGAGGGCAGGAGGGAAGCCCTGTGTGCATGGAAGCCTTCTACTCCTGCTCTTCTCCCTGACTCACACATGAGCATCTCTACTAGTCTGCGTTTTGGTCTTCACATAATCCTCCCTGTAGGGTTCCATGGTGTTCCCTCCTCTCTCAGAAGCTCTTGCAATTTTTCTTACCTTCTTTAGGGTTTCTTGGATTGCGATTTTTCCTGAACTTTGCAGAAGGTTCTGTTCCTGTTTTGAAAGTAAAGCAGGCCCTGCCAGGCCTGGGCCACAGAGACCGTGCAAGTACAGTAGCCGTGGAACTACTTTGTCCTGAGAGCCCACCGCTTCTCTCAGGCCCAGCAGGGATCCTTGACATCCAGAAGATTGGTACTTGCAGCCAGTGGTGCTGTACGGGGCAATGCTGGCTGCAGTGACTGCAGTGTTCTCCTGGGCTCCTTTCAGGTGGAGGCACCGGCTGTTTGTTCAGGGACAGTGCACCTGGCTCTGGATGAAGGAAATAAATCTGGGTATCATGAGGCTGAGGGGACAGAGTCCACTAGGTTCCTGTTTATGTGTAAGATGAGTTTTTGAGGCATAGTCTTGACTTCTAGTTTGCTGAGTTTTTTAGAGAAGTGACATGAAGAAAGATGAGGTGGCCAGTGAAGCCCCCCCATCACTCCTACGGGAAGTTGACATTGGCCTTGCCTTTCTGAAATGCAAAGTGAGAATGACAGACAATGGGTCATATGGATAGGGATGGCCCCTGGGGACTAGCGTGCTAGGCAACAGGTCTCTGCTCTGACCTATTGTCCTCAGACCATTGTGGACATCATCTTACATCTGTATGGCATGACAGCCATGCAGTAACCAGCCATCATTGCATTGCATCATGTTCTGAACCATGAGCACCAGGTGAATCCAACCTGAGAAACAGGGCCAGAGACATCGGGGCGCTTCCCCAAAGAACCATAATGCATCTGTGTCAGGAGATGACTTGTCAGGTGGGCTTTCAGTTCTTTTGCAATGTGATATAGCCAGACCTTGAGGAAATGGGAGGGAGAGCCTGAGTCTGTGGAGTAAAGGGAGGTTCTCTCCAGGAGGCTGGGTGGATTTGATGTGCCCTGACTGTGTCAACAGTGCCAATACAAGGGCAGGTGACATAGCCATGAATGCATATACTCTTCCATGGCCTGCCTGCAGGGTCTCCTTCATGTTGTTGCTTGGAACTGATGCGGTAACTAGCACCTCCAGAAGTCCAGACCCGGTATACGTGCCCTCCTCGTGTAGAATGTCCACATCCCAAGGGAAAGACCCACCATGGGCCATCAATGAGATGGTGAGTAACTTCCTCTTGCAGACCAGAGTTTTCAAGTGTCTGGAGCCTGGGTTTCTTAGTTCAGTCAGCAACTGCAGAAATCTCATTTGGTATCATTTCTATTGTTTCTGCTGGATCACAAGTTCTGTGTAGATCTTGTTTTCAGAGTATCTCCAGTCTGTCTCAACTGGCCAAGCGTAAATGAAATGGGCTGTGGTAGGGCAGAGGGGGCAGGTCTGCAAGCGTTGGTTCAGAGGTTTTCATGGCTATCAGCTTCCAGAGGCTGTTGGCAGGGCAGCCACAAGACCAGCCATGCTGAGTTCATTATTGTAGCAGATGAAGGAAGGCACAGGGTTTCTATCTCCCCC